GTTGTAGTGGCAATCACGTTTGCTCGAAACTTAAGTTAAGAAATAGTTTACTAAAAAATCTCACCGGCCATTCTCAGGATCCTAGGACGTGAAACTACCTTGCCAACAAATATATTACAACATAATAAAATTGAAAAAACAGCCTGTAGGGCTCACAAATGCCTTAACTATGCCAAAAAAAGTCAATGGGAAGAAAAACTTTAAATGCATACAACTAATACAGTTTTAGGCGTCAAGAAAATAACGCTGAACATTTATCGAGATTTAAGGAGCATCGAAATTGAAAAAACAGGAGAAGAATTAAGTGAGGGATTAGCTTTTTACTATAACCCTTATAGTAATCTCTTGAATCTTCCAGATTTCTAATTAGGTAGAATATGTTGTTGTTTTTTTTGTGTCAATAAAAATGTAGAGATTAAGCTCTAGGACTTAATTAATGTGGTAATAAAGTTGTGAGATGAGACAAAAAATTTGTATTGATTATATACTTTTTATGAGTATTAAATCCTTACAGCTTTAAAAAATAGCCCTTTTTGTAGATTACACAAGAGAAACTGCAAATTAATGGCCCTGAAGGCTCAACGATTATTTTATGGCATATTTATCTAAATAAACTGTACGGATTCCGAACGAATATGTTTTTAAAATGAAAATTTTTACTCTAAAGAGTGTCAGAAATAGATGTAAAGTTTTAAACTGCTAACGTTTTACATTACATGTCAACACACTACGGTGCTCCATTTAGTGAGTCTCGGGCGAAGCCGAGATGGAGGGCCGCTAGTCATAAATAAATTGACTTAGTCATTGTTTGTTTTAATTCTCTGCAGCTCTGTGTCTTTGTGGTTTATACGGCTGATTGATTTTGTACGTAACTACAGAATAGTGCCCTATTGTAATATATACATGCATGTATATGTATATTTTTTATTTTTTATAAATATATTATTATTATTATCATATGTATGAGAAAATAAAAAGACACGTAACATAACGTAATGCAATTTTTTAAAAGCGTGCCACTAACAAAAATTGTTTTTTATGAATTTCATCATATTCTACCGGCAAAATTCTAACAAATTGCTACGTTGTTTTACATAACAATATTTTTCATGGAGTATTTTTGATTTATATATTATATTATGAATGTCATTTTCCATTAGAGCACATTTTTATGGTTTCACAAAATGACGTGTTGCCGATAATCTTCACTGTTTTATTATTTTATCATAATATGAAATATTATAATTACGCTTACGTCATACACACATAAACATAATCACAAAAAAAATAGCAACGCGTCTTTCTATTTGTGCTATCGGTGGTGTGGAAAAAATAGATAATAATACACCAAAGTACATTAATATTATGAGGAACCATTGTAGACGATTGGATTAAATAAATCTTACGCGTAAATAAAGAAAACTTTCATTACGTATAAGAAGGGGCTAAAGGGGTAGGCTAGTAAAGCGTGAAAAAATAATGAGGGGAGAAGGCAGGCGCAAAAACAAACTAAACAAATGAAGAGGGGGCTGAGGGAGCCAAGAAAACGTAAAGAGAGTATGAAAGGGGGGGAGCCGGCGCGAAAACAAATTAAGGGGGTGCTGAGGGGGGGAAATCAAGAACTTTTTTGGGTTAATTTTACATCAAAATAAGAAAAATTTTACCTTATTTGTAAGAGGGCTGCAGGGATCAAGAAAAGCGTGGAAAAATAATGAGAGAGGAGGAGCAGTTGTAAAAACTAACTAAGGGGTGGCGAGGGGGCTAAGGAAGTAATTTAAAATTTTATTGCGATTATTTTACATTTAAATAAGAACTATTTTGCCTTGTTTTCAGGAGGGCTGATAGGGGGTAGAGAAGGAGTTAAATGATGTTATTGAGGGGCTAAATCAAAAGTTTATTGGGTTAATTTCCTTATTTAATAAAACAATTTTTCCTTGTTTTGAAGAGGGGTTGAGAAGGGGTAAAATATTCAGTGAGGGGAGGGTGTGGACAGCACCGCCTAAATGAATGTAGAATATAGGAAGATACATATCTAACTATATTATATAGCGGTTTAGGTAGGGCTTACCGCAATTATCTCTAAAACCTCCCCACAATGTAAGGAAAAATTAGTTTGTTTTTCCGTTATTTTAGTGTGACATCCCATGTCATAAACTTAATGTTAATTATCTTAAAAAACAGCGTTTCGTTTTTAAATTATATAAAGCAAATGCTTAGTGATCTCGAAACATCAAGTGGTACACCTGCTTGTGTAATCGCGTGACGTATTTATTACTTCTTTTAAAACAAGCTGTCGTCGCAAAACTCGAACTACGCGTGCAACCTTCAATACTCTTATAAAGCGCTTATCTTACAACATTTCTTTGCAGTGGTATATCCAAGAATGTTAATAATGAACAATTTCAACATTTTTTACTGTGTATATTCATAAGAAATATCATACATAATATTGATACCAACTTGTAATTAATGTTAAATTCGAGAGATCAGCAGTTTTAACTATCAATTACTGTGTTATTATTGCACCATAAGTGTACTCGTATCAATCGAGAGTAATTAGTTTAAGCTCTAATTTGTTGTTCGGACTCCCAATTTAATGTTCTCTTCTTAAGCGCAAGAGTACAAAAACTCCTCAAACATGACAATATTCGCCTTTTCTTTTTTATCACATGCTCCAAAGTAACTGTAATGGTGGAAGAGTGAGTTCTATTTTGCATTTTATGCAAATGTAAAACTTAGTTTGGTGACAAAGCTGTGTAGGAAAAGCTTCAACTAACCAGCCCACTGTAGACTTGCCCAAAAAGTGAATTAATGAGGAACAAAAAAGAGAGGATCATCGACTTGGGTTCTGACGTTAAAAGCAGTAGCCTAATCATTGTCATCACCACGAGTATTCTCGTATAGGATTAGGATCATCGTTGCGGTCAACCTTGTAAGATTTCGTGACTGCGTGCGCGCAAGCAGCGGCTAACCAAGGATCATAGAGTTAACTAAGAAAAGCAATGAGTTGTTAAATCATTGTAAATGCAAATCCAAAACTTTATTGTTTATATTATTTGTAACTATTTCCGGCTTTTCTAAAGTTAATAAATTATCAGATAAGACATAACTTGGTTGTTGATTAAATTTACTTTCTCAATTGAAAAATATTCCAATTAATAAATCATATGAAATATTTTAAGATTCAAAATTGTAATTAGTAGTAACATAATTTTTACTTAAATGAATAAATTTATTACCAAGGAAATTTCATGTAGATAACGTATGACAAAGACTTTTATAAGGACGTGAGATAAAAAGACAAAAAAGATAAGTGACTACTGCATTACACAAGAAATATATTTTAGCAGTAGATCAACGCCAGCTCTCGCACGACACATTAATACTACTGCATACATACCATTCTGGTATCAGTCTCTTCAGTATTCACGAAAGCTACCTTCTGTCTTATTTTATCTGCTCCTAGCAGCGTCACTGTTATCATGTGTGGTGAACAACGAGGGATTCTACTCAATGCGAGTTTGACGTCAGCCTTCTCAGTAATCAGATCCAGATCCGGAATTTCGAGCGTTACCCTTTTCTCGTCTGTTTTAAAACGGATCCTAATCCTTCATCTGTCTTAGCTATACTGCTAACCAGGGCCTCTCTCCTTTACTCGTTTAACTTTATGAAGAAGGTCTTTCTTTTTAGTCGTGGTGGTTCTTTTGACTGTCATCTCGTCCTCTTCCGGTTTAAAATCAGTCCTGATCTTCTTTAGGACCTCGGCAGAGTTCTGCCCTTCCGTGACCTTATCGAGAATTTTCTCCTCGTTTTTTCTGGCATTGTCACGTTTGCCGCTGTTACTACCATTAATTATTATCTTAGGGATAAGCTCTTGATTTTCCGGGGTTTTTTTCCCTTTCTAAGAAAGGGAGTTTGGGATCTCCTTCGGAGCTTCTGAGCTCCTGTTCCACTTGCCTGTTAGCATGTTTTCATAAATTTTGATTGGATAGAGCGTGTGATTTACTCCTTTTTTTCTGATCTGTATGTTTTTCGTATTAGATTATCGTTGGCTTGTTCTTGGAGGTTTTCCATCTTCTTCCTAGTCACTTCACGGCTATCCTTAAACTTGTGCAAAAAGATCAACGCCTATTCCATACCTTCTTTTATCGACATTGTTGTTTTTGTGTTTGTTGTTGTTGCTGCTTCCACCATATCTTTGACTATTTTTTCGAGTTCTGTGAATATAATATCCTCCTCTATCTGTTCCATGGTAAGTTCTGATTTTAAGTTACTGGTACATTTCAGATTCATCTTATTGTTACTGCTAAAAAAGCTGGCAGCACAGACGTCACTCGCTCCGCTTTCAGTGCTTAGCAGCCTGTCTCGTCCATGGCTGGGCAAGGATATGAAGCCCTCCTGTGAGTGTTTTTTATCAGAGGTTGTCTCCTCGCTTTCGATCTGGATGCCTAGATTATTTTACAAGATGTTCTCCTCGACATTTTGGTCCACGAGAACTATTTTATTTCGTTTTAACCACCCGTGGGCACAAGCTCTGACTGTCGCAGTGTCTCGGAACCACACACCCGCGGAAAGCTTCCCTCCATTCGCCACTTGGAGGACGTGCCCCAAGGCTGACTACACCAGCCGGGGGGTGTTAACTTTTTTATTATTATTATTATAATAATAATAATTATTATATTATTATAATTAATATATTACTATTATTATAATAATAATAATTATTATTATTATTACTACTACTTTGTTTAGAAATTATTTTAAAAACTGTCGCATTTGACAAGATGTATAAAAATTTGTCTTAAGACTCAGATTTTTAGTGCATGCGGTAAGAATTTTGTGAAATTGTAACACGTACGTAAACGTAAAAACGTTGTAATACAAATAAAAACGATGAATTAATTAAGTTTTCAATTCTTAAAATTTATAAAATATATTTGGTCATGAAATGAAAGTCCCTGGATCAGAGACTGAGCACAAAATAGTACAATGCCTTAATAATGGACAGGAAAGCAGGGGTGAGGGGGTTTATTACGTTGGGGGAGGCAGGCTCAAATTTTACTGAATTAAAAATCACAGAATGCTAAAGAGTTTACGCGTGATTTTGGGGTAAACTGAGATAAAACTGTGAAGGTTGGAGTGACGGATCTCTGGAGTGGTAAGTGGCGAAAATTCTTAATACAACTGTGCTATATGGAATGATACATGTGGGTTATTTTTCTAAACAGCGAATTCCCACTACATTCTAAAATTAATTTTATGCCAAAAGTTTCGATCTTTCTTCGTAATTTAAAGTACACAATGGTACCTGTTGATATCTGATTCTGTAAATCTACTTTTGCAGCTGCAATATAGACATCCCTATAAAGTCAAGAGAGTATTTATCGTAGCCCTATCTGGTAATCTCTTATCTTATTTTTCACTACCTAACTGACCCGTGACCTCCTATACGAAGTCCCTTAATTAGTTCATTATACTTTTTATTTTACCCTTACCTTGTACACCGAACTTACACTTTTTAATTACGGCTATGCAGTGCTGGAACAATTTTCAAGTCCCTTCAAATGTAATTACTTATAAAGATAAATTGTTTGACCCAATCACATGTACTTGTCAAACTATATTTTTATACAAAAACATTTCTAAAGAATAGTTAAGTTGATCATTATATAATTTGTTATTTTAAGTTATAAAAAAGCATATTAGTAATTACATAATAATATATAATATCTATCTTCTCTAATCTGATAAAATTTTTTAGCGAGTAGTTGCAAACGAGCTCAGTGCAGTAATTCCAGCAGCAATTTCTGCAACTGATAATCTGGAAGCTTCCATGAATCCTTTTTTACCTGGTGGAGACAACCTTTCTATAACTTTATCATCGCCTCAGTTTTCTCAAGCATTATTGATGTTTTGGGCAGCTTTTCAGTCTGGTCTCGTAGCCCCAGTCATTAAACAGTTTGGCCTGGGAACAGCAAGTGTGGAGGCTGCGAACAAAGGTAACATTGAAGAATTTGTTTGTTCACTAGAAGAAGAAGTGAAAAATCAGCCATCTGTATTGAACATTGAGAGAAATAATACTAACCTACATAAAGTTGTCACTGACAAAGATGTAAAACCAAATGAGTCATCTGGAGATACTAATGAAGATAAAAAAACTGATGATGATGAAGGAATGAATCTTGATTGAATTTAAATGTATACTTTTTGCAAATAATAATATTTCTGGATTTCTCAATATTTAAACTAACTTATTTTCATAAGTAAAAATATTTTTTTACACTATAATACTACAGTCATTAAATTTTTTATTCACATTTTTTATTGCAAAATTTTTTGTAAAACTTCACCCCATTATGCATATTTTTTCTGTACATTTTTTTTTTTATTCACATTTTTTAATGATAAGTTTAATATTCTTGCTATCTATTGGATCCTATTATATGTTCTTTGAAAATTTATACGTCACGTGACTTTGTGTCAATTAATTGTCTAAAAATATATATTGAATTTTTAAGTTTGATCATTGCGGATAGGTCACCTCTTAAAAACCAAAAATTGCAATATCTAACAAATTTACTCTTTAGCATACATCCCAAATATCACATTTTTTTGACTATTTTTAAAAGTGTTGATAATGTAATAAATTTTTAAGTACCTCACACTCTAGTACAATTTATTTCACATTATTAATTTTTTATTACGTACGTGTTTTAAACATAAAATTTTCTGGTAAGTGTATGGAATTAAATACATGCTTACGTAAAACAATAGGGCTGTTGAAAAAGTAGTGGTAAACACATAATGAAAATGTTGTCTTTTTTGTTTGGAGTTATAAATATCAACGCTATTTGCACACGCAAAAAGCTTTTTTTTCAACTTATAAATATTTGTACTATTTCAAAAATGATGATTTCCCCTACTTTCGTCTAGCAAGGGCCCTACATAAGGAGCTTGGCTTCAAAAAGTTTACTATACAACCTGTAGAAGCTAAAATAGCTTTTTTTTTTAAACATTCCTGACGCTCTAAATTGCACCCATCCGATAAAAAGTCCCGAATTAATATCGTCAAAATTGTTTAACAACTTCATTTTGCAACTAAGTTTTTTTTTGTAATATTTTTTGTGGTTCCCACGTGTCTCAAATCGATATGCCGTAGATTAGCGATTGAAAGTAGGAATCTTTAGGAATAGAATAAGCCAAAGCATATGTTGTTGTGACGTGTAAAAAAAAGTATTGCAATTATCAAAAAAGTGTCTTTTTAAAGAATAATTACATTGTTGCGAAACGTATAAATATTTGGAATGCAAAACAAACCACTTAATCTTCGCTGCAAAACTAATATTCAGTAGAACTGATGAGGTTCTAGAGTTATTATGTCTTTAATTAATAATTCATTTAAAAACCTCGTTATTTTACAGTTATTTCGATTTTTATAAACAACAAATCGATTAACATCGAACGGTGCTCCTTTGGTAGATATTTTATTTTAAGTACCTGAAGTTTGATCCATTAGAGAATTGCTGGCTATTAAATCTGGGGTCAAAATCATAGAATTAAAAGATGAAGAAAAAATCGTTCTTCATTTTTAATTCACTGCATATTTAAACAATAATGAACCAGTTTTCAGCTGTCAAAAAGTTGGTACAATGAATAAATGTACGCATAAGAAGGTAAAAAAAATCGGGTGATAAAACTGAGTTTCGCATTGTTGTTATTCAAAAACCTCCCAATGACTAGTCTATTCAGATAAAGCATTTTCTTAATTGAGCAAAACCTTAAATAATGTCAAAAGGATAACCTAACTTCGGGGCTTGTTGTTGTGTTGAAATTATTGATTTTACGTAGTATAGATGGTAATTAAATGTCATACTTCACTATACAAAATTAGATATTACTTTTATTACCATACGATTAATCAAATTCAATCCTTACATAGTCGGTGGACAAGGTTTGGACGTTTCGTAAAAACGATAAACAATAAAATAAAACTTTTTTCACTATAGCTAAGTAATCATATTTTAGAATTTTAATCTTTCAATAAATTGAGCAAAATGCATACGTTTGTGTATACGCCTGATAGAGCGTATGCGAAACAGTACATAATACGCAAAGACTGCCTACTTTTTCTGGAAAATATTATACGTGATACGTGAAGACCGCCCACTTTTCGGGCTTTTCGTACAGCATATTTTATTGTGACTTGCACTAGTGAAAATAAAGGTGTGATGATTAATTGTGAACAGTTTTCTTAAATCCAAGGCTATTTTTTTCTAACTTTGCATAGAATTAAATAATAAAAATGTAGTTAATGTATTATTTTTAATTTACTTCTTTGTTAATTACAAAAATTGTCTTGTCGATTAATATTTTTTATTTCAAGATTTGATTTTCGTAACTTCCAATGACTGCACTAGGCTCATTTAAATAATGTCTAATCAAACTGCTCTACCAGTAAATGCATCAGAACTTGAAGTCAACTTAAGTATCATCATTGTCTTGCCCGAGACGGCACCACATACTAATATACTTCTATGGTATACAAGTAACTCGGACAACTGCTTTTTGCTCGTTCTCCTCGATTTTCACAGCTGATTGTTGTTTTGGTTAATATACTTATCTATTACCAAAAAATATTTTGTTATGAAAGCCATAAGTATACGATTTTTGCGCGAATACTACACTTGGGGAGGAAAGTCTTTAAACTCTAGTAACTGCACTAAATGTTTTATTTTCTACAATATATTTTTTTCCTTTAAGTTTCCGTAAAGCACAGGAGTCAACCATGAATGTGTAACTGATGTATTATTTTTAATTTATTTCGTTAGTATCTAAAAAAACTTTTTGGTGGATTAATTATTATTGTTTCAAAACATGATCACAGGCTCCAATTACTCTACTTGGCTCATTAAGAAAACTTCTAATCAAACTACTTTACTAGTGAATGAGACAAAACCGAAATTTAGATAATACTATAAGAAATAAAAGAGAATGAAAATAAAAAAAGCAGCTTCATGATTCATTTATAGTAAAAGTGCTTAAGAGATTAAAGTTACATAAAAAGTGACAAATGAATAGTAGAATCCAAATAAGGTCTATAGAGAAGATGTTAGTAAATTGCCTGTAACTTTATCATAATAAGCCAATAATATATTGAAACCACGGATTCCATGAAAACAAGTTGAAAAACTATAAGCGTTGTATTTGCTCGAAGTGAAGCCAGGCATAAAGTTAACCATTACAGTTAATAGAGATCATTTTTCTCCTCAACTGCTATAAAGTGACATAACTGAATTTTAACTGGCTTTGAAGGAAAGGAAAGGAAATGAAAAAGCTAATATCACACAAGAAACAAGGCATTCCTACAGTGTAAAGTACTACTGATTGATCTGTCTTTTATTTTTATAAGTAGTTATGTGCATGGTCAACAATTATTATTACATTTATTCCTCCTTAACAGATAAGCGGAAAGACATATTAGGAGATATATACCCACAAAAGAGGTATTCTCCAAGCCCACTTTCCCGACCAACAGTAAACGGTTGGTTATTTGGAACACGACCCAAAGACAAGATATTCTTCAGCCCGCCGTGTACCTCCCTGCAGCAAGGTCTCTGTACGCATAGACTCTGAGGGTAGAAATCAAGCTACCCACAGCGGGTGAGCTGGCTCTCCATCATAGAGAATAATATCAATTATAAATAATGACTGGAACTATCACCACCGGCCCTTTTCAGGGCCATCACACATATTTACGTTCCCTAATTAACCATATATCTCGTCGGTTCTTTCCAAGGCCATTTAACGTTGAACTACCTCACCAACAAATACATTTTTTCTACCATTTCTGGCAACGATTTATCGACTAAAAGACTGTAAAAAGTCGGCCACTATTAAACCAAGACAGTTATTCACTGTCAGACGTCACGAACGGAGTTGTTCGTTGCAAATATAGCAATCCCAGCGACCAACGACCCTAGATTACCCTCTCTACGAAGTATTTAACCAGGAATCACCAATCCACTCCAAAGTCTGCGCTGGTCGAACCTAACAGTGGAGCTATAAAGGAAAAATAAAGTTGAGCAAACGGGACAGTCTTTAACAGGCAAGCATTACGAACCAATCTCCCTACCTTAGATCACCAAAATTACTTGGCTCTGCAAAAAAAAGTGCTTTGGACACCAACATTTCCGGAGTAACACCAGGAGACATTGGCAAAGAGCTCTACAACCAAGACTTTGTAGTTTTCCTCCGTATCAGGCTAGTGCTACAACAGCAGGCCAGACAAGATCACCCGGAGAAATTCAGGTAGTCACGTTTGCTAGAAACTTCAGTCCAGAGCTTAGCTCACCGGTCCTTTTTAGGGCTATTAGAAGTCAAACTACCTTGCCAGCAAATATATTACAACTCAATAAAGTTGACAAAAAACAGCCTCTAAGGCTCACAAAACTTTTAATTATGCCAATATGTTACGAGAGGGCGAATTGGAAAAATATTTTCAAATGCTTCAAATGTATACAATTTAAGGCGTCAAGAAACTGACGCAGAATATTTATTAAGTTTAAAACAGCAGTGTTAAAATCGACAGATAAAGAAATGATTACGTTAAATATCAGCTTTCCATTATAACCCTAACAATAAGCACTTAAATCTTCTAGATATTTAAATAAATAGAAAAATACGTATTTGTATACGTATAATACGATATACACTATCTGTCTACTGGTAGATTACCTCATTTTTCCCCATTATAACATTTATGACATCCAATATATTTACATTTTTAAAGATTTTCTAGAAGATTTCTATGAAATGTCTTGAAGAACATACTTTAGATATACTTTGGACTATACTGTGTGAACAGATCCGACCAGCCTTAACGAACTAACCTACTGTAGCATCGTACATGATTTCTGTCGTACCGTAAGTGGCAAATTTCGTGTCCAGAGCTTATTTTACTCCAAGATACTAGAATTGAATATTCAAATTACGTAAAATTATGTTAAAAATATTAAACTATCTTAAAAAAATCTTTCAAGCTAATACATTCACTCCTCAATGAGATAATTAAAAAAATACAGTCCATATGTTACTTCCTTACCCTGCTCCAATCTAAATTTCACACCTAAAAGCTCCTACTAGGTTAAAAAATGAGCTTTTCTGCCATGTCCTCGCATATACATTGTCATG